CCATCCATCCACCCATTCACCCACCCATCCATCCACCCATCCATCCATCCACGCACCCATATACCTTATCTGTCTCTCTCTGTATCTGTCATGTATCCCTCTGTCTGTGTGTACATACATAGACATAGGTGGCACATGTTTGCACAGACGCCCCTGTGTCTGCGAAGTACAGGCAGAGATCAGTGGACTTGCCCTCTGATTATATTATATAACACCCGTATTATATAAAATGCGACGTAACCAGGAAGGTTTGACACTTTAAGAGTTTACAGAGTCCTGGCTGTGACCTTGTCATTCCCTTTTTAGGAGTCTGTCTTTTAATTTGTTTTATTTTTTGAGGCAGGGTCTCACTATGCAGTTCAAGCTGGCCTCAGACTTATAGCAATCCTCCTTCCTCAGCCTCCTGAGTGATGGGATTACAGGCGTGCACCACCACACCTGGATTAACAATCTATTCTAAGCACCGAATTCAAAATCTGGTTAGCATTTAACAAACACAGCTACTGAAGAATTAACTAAAACAAATCCACCACACGAAGGTCCCTCCTGGGTCCTGTAATAGAACAGTCAAATCAGTCAGCAGCATTCGTTTACCAATGTGTTCAGGACGCGGAAAGTTCTACAGAATATTCATAGTGCGCGCAGCGGCCCAGTCCTGAGTGCCTTCCCCGATTCCCTGCCCAGCCCTGCCATCCACCAGCCGATCAATCAGTCAGTCATTCAACCAAGCAAATGAATTAAACAATCTTTAGCGACAGGAAACGTGCAAATACAGTGTCCTTCACTGTGAGGGCCCCGAGTTCAGTCCCTGGCAGGAAGGGGAGGGACATCCGGGGGGGCTGTGGGACCCCCAAGGTCCGGCTCATGTCCCCGACCACCATGTCTGATCTGTCCACAGTCCCAGGTGTCAGAGGTGTGCAACATAACCATCAGGGGCGTGGACGTAGAGCAGTGCCACCTCTTCCGGGCCAGGGTGAAGACCAAGGATTCCTACTACGGCCCCAAAGCCTCCCCGAGCGACTGGTCTCAGGTCACGCACTGGCGGGGAGCCACAACTGAAGGTGACCAGAGCTACACGGATGGATGGGTGGATGGGTGGGTGGATGGGTGGGTGGGTGGATGGATGGGTGGATGGGTGGATGAGTGAGTAGATAGATGTATGGATGGGTGGATGGATGGGTGGGTGGATGGATGGATGGATGGATGG